GCTTTAGCAGCCTTGGCACCTTTTCGGTGTCTCAGTTTTCTGTGTACTCGCTGGAGACTTATTCTCCGGTATGGGCGTTTTTCAATATGATGAAATGCTCCTGTGCGCGGTTTTACTTTCGCCCACGTAAACAAAACCAACAGAGCAGAAGAGCTTGTACAGGCTTGTACACCAAGCATTCGTTCTGATCCTCCTGTCTGTTGGGCTTCAGGTCTCTCAGACGAGTGCGAAGTACTGCAGCAGATTTGAATACAACTGTCAGGCAGGTTATGGAGGCAATACCTCATATTTTTTCGCTCGTCTTACGAACATATGCAATGTGATATGGGTTTTATCACCAAGTGAATAACGAGATATAAGTTGTTTCGATATCCTTGTCCTACTGATATACTTTCACTTGGCATTTTCACTGAGTGTTCCGTCTTTTGCAATGTCAATCTGATATGATTTAGCCTTTTGGGAAAATTATCTTCCATACTGCAAATTTCCTTTCCTCTTTGGAAGGAGAAGCGCACTGACGACGCTTTCTGTATTCTCTCTTGATGATAAGAAGAATAACACGGATATCCATTTACATGTTTTGTTTCTCCTATACACCAATGTCGAATATTACTGCTGATTGTGTCGCTAGCACGTCCAGGAACAGTAAATTGCCATTCATGGTTACCCTGTGATGATGTTTAATGAAGATCTGGAAAATATATCAAGCAACCCACTTTTCGCTGCTGCCGTGACGACCAGGTCTATGCCAGCTTACCATACGTTCTTATTCCGATTCTTATTAAAACAACTATTGAGTGTGCAGCTTCTCTGAACCTTGTATTCAAATTCGCCACGGCACTTTGCACTAATCTGGGCCACCTGAAGATCAAGAGTCCGGAAGAGAAGAAGCAAGGCTGAGTGTACAAACTCCCATATCCATGTGGTTAAACTGACGTAGGCGAAACGGGCAATACCTTTGAAAAAGGAAGATTGTGCACGAGGGTAACCCCATGAGATGAAGGAGCGCTGTCCCCAGAGAAGGAAGCCCCCAACAACTAGTCAGATGACGGAAAAACAAGTCTACAGCGTTGTCAAAGCGGAACGTGAACAGAAGTTCCGCGATTGCACAGCATGCTGTAACATGTCAACACACCATATCTCGGAGAACGTGACAGGTGTCGAGTGGAAAAAGCAATATCTCAACAGTGTGCTCTAATATGCGCTGCTGATCTGCGCAGCCAGCTGCGTCGATAATGCCACTGCGCAGTTATCGGCTGCACATGGACCCAAACAAATCAAGCAGTCACTTAGAGCCAATGGCAAACGTGGCACCATCGATCGTACATGTCAGCCTTATCCTCAAGAAAGCGGTTCAGTGCAAGACTCCTTGTAACTCTGTAAAGCCGAATGTGGTCCAAAACGTTTGTTGTACAGAATGTTTGTGGGTACATATTTTACGGTCTATGCGTTCTTCTCGCGTTCGTCGCGTTCGGAAACATAATTTAAGAATTATGCACTAATAAAAGGGAATCTTTGAACGGTTGAACACGATTTCCTTAATTAATGGTACAGGTTACGTGACGGTTAATTAAAACGAACAGTTTAAATAGTATACAGCCAAAGGTGAATAACGAGATTTGGCAGGCTGAATGTTGACTGCCTATGAATGATTTCTGTATGCATATCTATGTGTTTAGGGCTTCGCGATTGTTTTGCTTGTGTATATTGCGTTACTGCTCAGAAGCACATACTGTAAATCATGCTGATTTGGTCGAGAATCAATGATAGCGTATGGTTGTCAACTGGCTCATAAATTGCTGTCTGATCGTTTGTCGCGAAGGTCACTAACCACAGAATGCATTCGAACCTGAAGCAGAGGAGTCGTTCGAAAAATCAGCTAAAATACCTCCTCCCCCACCCACATGCGGGAAACACTAGGTCGGGAAGGCTAACCTCGAAAATATCGTAAAAATCATCCAATTCGTAACGCCTTCCTTAGCGTCAGTTATTCGCATCAAGACAGCGACGCCGATAAATGGTCTGACCGTGACCCATTTCATGAAAGAAACAAATGGTTCACTGATTACGGTTGGCAGTGTTCAGACGAACTGCAAAATGGCGGCTTTTCACAAGGACCACGGCCACGAGCAGACAGTAGAATCGCGGCTGATCAACCGCAGACATGTTCCCCCTCCTCCTGCGAAAAAACGGATTGCAGAACCTTCATCAGTCAGATTAAAAGTCACGCTCTTATTGCACGTCATGAACAATATTTCTGATTTTTATCGTAGCCCTTTCAGTTAGATTCCGGCCCATTCAGAGTTGTAGTAATGCCATTGAAAAACGGTGACCCGTCTAAAGCTTGTACACTCATAAACAGACCTGTTTATGATCAATTTGATCCATGCTTGGAAAGTTTTGTGGTCAGCCATATCTGAATTGCCAGGCATTTGGCGATTCCCCCATTCTCTGGATGTCCATCTGTTCTTTTCCTACACTAGGTCTTACTGATATGTATATTGTCTGCTGTTGTTGCTTGTCATCTTCTAGACAAGTGGACGGGATTTTGCAAATAAGAATATGAATATGACAAATTGTTCCAGTTGTTTTCATCGTACTGTGACAGAAAGACACTTGCAATCTTGGCTGGATCGTGATTTCTTGATTCAACTTGAATGTGTCAATGCCTAATGCCAAGCTTGGATAAAAGACGCGATCCTTTGGCCCCGTTTGGTGTACTAAACGAGACGTTTACGTTTACGGATTTACTGTCGAATTCTTAGGTTTTTCAGGTTAAAGTAAATTTTCTTTTTATCGTCTTACGTTTCTTACACAGACACATCGTATTTATCGTTTCACAGCGCCAAAGCCCAGAACTTTATCCGCCATCTACACCGGCGAAAATCATATTGCACTAGTTGAGGGAAGCTCAGACGGAAACAGTGAGGAAAACAGTTTACAAAAATAGAAAGAATGCTCTAATGATCTCCTAATTACAGCCTCTGCAGAACCATGGCAATATCCATCAGCAGGGCTTTTGGATTTATACATCTACGAACACTATATTATATTTCATGTAAGGATATGAAGTGTTCGAAGGAAGAATTAGGCCATCGCTCGACTCGATGGCTGAAGAAGGTATTGTGATACGTGCTGGTCATGCCGTCTATCCCTTGAATAGAGAGTAACGGCTGATGTTTGATGTGTCGAGTAAGTGCATTTATTCTAAGTCGGTTGTTCGCATACGACAGCTCATTGAATACCCATTCAGTGT